AAAGAAAAGGGGGGGGGGGAAGCGAGTTTCGGCAAGAAAAAAAAAGAAAAGGGGGGGGGGGAAGCGAGTTTCGGCAAGGACCAGAGGGCTTTTAAAAATAAATAAATCAAATCTCGTGCTAAAGGGATGACGAGGGGTAGCGGGGGGCGCGCCTTACTTTTCTGGCTGGAGTAGCCCGGGTAATATCCATAGTAGCCCGTGATGCGCAGGATCCTGTCCTCGATGGTGGCCACGCCGTTGGGTGCCGCTTTGCCATCCATAGGAGGCGGGAGCCGCGCGCGGGGCGGCCGTGCGGGACGCCGGGGCGAGCGGAGCGGCGCGGGCGGCGGCAGGAGGAGGAGGAGGAGGCGGCGGAGGGGAGGAAGGCGGAGGGGCAGGGCCGCCGCAGCTCGCGGGGCCGCTCGCGCCGACTCCGCCGCCTGGTGCAGGGCGCGCTCCGCAGCGCGGCGGCTCCTTCCCCGCCTTCCTCCTCCTCCTCCTCCTCCTCTTCCCTTTCCCGCCGCGCCGCGGCGGCGCAGCCGCTACCGGGACCGTTAGCACGCGCCGTTTGGGTGCTCCCGGGTCCTTTGGGTGCTCCCTGGGCGTTTGGGGGCCGTTTGGGTGCTCCCTGACAGGGGACAGTTTGGGCACCCTCTGAGATGGGAAGCGGGTCCCTGCGCCACCCCTCGCCTTGAGGCGCTGCCTCCCCTGGCTCCCTCCACAGGGTGAAGAGCCTTTGGTTCCTGTGGAAAAAAACGCARTGTGGATCCTTGGGGAAACTCCATTCCCCTCCCCAAAGCGCTTGGAGAGTCCCGCGTCCCTCCTGCCYCGGAGACAGGTCTCCCTACACACTGTGTGGCCACCAAAGACTGCGTGGCCACCAAAGTCCTTGGTCTTTCCRTGTGCTTGGTGATTTATCCGGCTGTAGGTTCAGTGCAAGTCGCTTTCCACCATGTGCTGGGGTGTTGGGACAGAGGTGGCACCTCATGGCAAAAGGGATGTGCTCCTACCACCAGYCCATGGAGAGACCGTAAGGAGAAGAAGACCAAATTGGACCTCTGAGGATGCAGAGGGGATGGATGGTTTCTCCACCATTAGTTGCATGTATCCTTCCAGAGAGGCTGGCCACTATTTCCACAGGTTGTTTGGAGACACATCACACCGAAATAGGAGAGTGGGTGTCACCCACCACCCACCAAGGGCAGGAGGTCACGTAGGCAGGTCGCACACCCAATGTCTTCTCATGGACAAACCGCAGATCTTCTGATCTTTATTTGCATTAGCAAAAGAAGAGATGAAGACTCCACTGTTTGGCTTGGCGACTTGTTCCAAATTCTCTCATTGGTGAAAAACTAGGTTTTGAATTATTTGACATTTGTAGCTACTGCTCCTTTGCGTGCCATTCTCAGCAAGCCTGAAAAGATCRTTAGTAACCAGCCTTTTTTCACTTCAAGACATATGTAGCTATCAACACGCTCTCTCTAGCTTTTCCATTATTTTGTGGCTCTTTTCTGCATTGTCTCTTCACTGTATTCTTTTTCTGTCCAGCCATTTCCATTAACTGGTATATGGGGAACCTGCTTAAGCCATTTCATAGCTATTGCTTCCCACTTCGTTCACCTTAATTCTTCTCCCATTCTTGCCCGGCCAAATAAGCTGATAACACAAAAGAGCCTTTTGTGAGCACAAACAAATAAGAGATGTATTAAAAATAGCCATTGCAGAGGGAGTCATTAGTTGGTTAGTATTCATATAGTGCTTTGAAGACCAGTGTCTTCATGTGTAGGAATGCAGACATAATAAATGCGCTTAAGATACTAAACACTCTTTTGAACTTGATTACTTGTCCCCTGCCACACTGCTAGGTAATATTAAGGGTGATTACAAACCAGTGATAAATCAACCATTTATCACTCAGGAATTTAAGACATAACCAGTTTCTCAATTCCTTCACTCCCTTTGTAGGTTGATGCTCGTCCCACAAAAGCGTGGACTCCTGTGAGGCAGATTTAAGTCTGCCGACAACAGGCTTGCTGCTTTCATTTCTCATTTGTAGATTGGCCTTTGTAGCCCACATCCATCCAGGATTTCACAGACATGGGACAGAAACAGCTGAGAGCTAGACAGTGTATTAGTTAGCCTTGAAAGGTGCTGAATCAATAGGAGCTGGTGAGGCTCTAACCCCGTCCGCAAGATTAAAATTCTCTGTCCTAGTTAGGAAAGCACAGTTTGAGCAAAAAACACTTGCTTAGTGTCTTGTGTGGAATCTCCGAATAAACCACAAGTACCCCCCCCTTCCCCACTGCATCTCCAGTGGGAGTTGGTGTTATGAGAACATTACCAGCATTGATCTCAGCTTCAAAGTCAAATTTCAGGACTTAAAAGTGCTACTTTGCAGAGAAGGAGAAAAAAAAATGATTGGTTCATTTGAAGGTTAAACTAATATGGCCAGAAACAACTGAGCTTCACATGGTTTCCAAACACCTCAGTTTTGGCTTAATATTTCATCTCCTCTCTTCCTTTTATCTGTAGCCTTTCAAGGACATACTGTGCATGTTTAAACATCAATTGATAATGTAAGCAAAGCCATTCTTGAAATTGCTTCTAACTATGATTCCTTTCCAATATCACCATATGCAATAGATACACAGTGGCTTAAAATGCATTGCAGCTTCATAACGTTACTGAATTCTTACCGTGCTGACATTTTTTTTAAAGAGAAATCAAGCAGATTGCTTTTTAAAAGTTATGGTGAAAGGAATGCTGTGAAAGGATAGCTGAATAAGATGTAGGAGTGAACTACTCTTTATTAATAAGGATCAGGCTCTTACCTGACTAGGGGTACATGGGGACTTACCTGTTTCATCTTTTCAAGCTAAYAGATCCATCAAAGTCACAAGTTGCATAAATATGTTGAAGTGATTTTATGGAGAAATTCATATTTTCACCAGTCCATAACTAAAACCAAGAGCTGATCCAGAAAACAACTTGAAAACAGAAGTTTAACTTCAAGCTGGTTCTCCACAAAGGATGAATTATTCTCAGCATGTAAAGCAGAAATCTTTCTCTAGAAAAAGAGACTCGATCATTAATGGCCACAGAATTTGAACAGTCTTTCAAAAACCACCCTAAACTCCAGGCCATATGTTTGCAAAAATAACCTCTGAAGTGAGAGAACAATGTAATGTCTCCTGATCATGTTGCTGATTCTGCAGACAGACAGTCCCAGTGTCTTTTTTGCTGTTCACAGCTTTCCCAGACAGCCTCAAATAGAAAGGAACAAGAGCCTGGGCATATTATACAGCTGCTTTTCAAATCCCCCTGGATTGTACTGGAATGGTAAAGAAGCACAAACCAGAGAGCATCCTCATGTGAGGCACATTGGAAGAAGCAGACAGGTCTCCTTTCCTTATCTGCCTGTTTTCTGGCCACACAGGCCCTGCTTCTTTCTCCAGTCCATGGGACAAGAAGCATCATTGTCTCCATTCTGGGTCCTCATTTATGTTGCAAGGACCCTAAAGACCCAACCATGGGCAAGGCTCAACAAGGCCCTATCAGGCAAAAGACCCAAGAAGTTTACACAAAGGACAAGAGGGGTAGCAAAGATGTGGAAGATTGAAGTGACTGTTGGAGATGATAATCAGCAAGCTTTGAGGGTTAAAACCCAGTCCTCCTCTTTCCCAAGCCATTTCCCATCCTTCTCCTTCACTGCTTTTCCCCTCTCTGTGAACATACGCCGTCCACCCGAGGTAACTGAAAGTGGTGATTTCTATCCGTCTTACTGCTGATCCTACCGCCTCACGTGTTTGAGGAGGCCCTAATCTAAGTTGTTCCCATTATCAGACTATTAAAAAACAGGAAACTTTTGTTTATCAGTTACTTCCTGAATGCACCTTAACTACAAACCAGTGAATGTCGGAAAAAAAGGCTAAAAAATCACAGCAGATTGAGGAACTTCTAAAGCAAAATGACTTTTTTATAAATGAAAACGTAGTTACAAGCCAATCATTCCAAATTAATCTTTCTCATTCCAACTTCCTCTTGTTTTTAAATAGAAAGTGTCACTTGAAATTAGACTGCAGCTTAACAAGAACCTTTTAAAATATTGGCAAATATTGAGTATTTTCCATACCATTTGGATAAAATTATCTTGTGTGTTAAAAGCCCAACCGTCTTCCATGAGGTTGTGAAGGTATAAAACCAACATAAATGAGAATAAACTAGACCTACTGATAGGGAAAAGAAAGTCTGTAGCATTTGAAGGTTCTTTAGTTGTCCTATTAAGTAATAGACATGAAAGTTGCTAGAGCAGTTCAGTTCTTTCTCACTCTGTCTCACACACCAGAGATGAAGAATGAACTAATCTCTCCATTGACATCAAGGACGAAAAGGACTCGTTAACAATATCAAACCATTAAGCATGAAGATGCTTGAAACTGTCAGCTCGGTCTTAAGAGCTTTTCCCCTCTTTGAAAAATGGGGAGATTCCAACTTGGAACGAAATTTGAAGTCAAGTTCCAAGATCTTTCAGAGCACCACCAAGTATTAAAAGGTTTCATCTGCCATAAGTTAAGCAGATCTGTTTAATGCCAGCTGATTTCATTGAAAGGAGGCAGAACAAGGAACAATGAATGCTTTGTGGAAATAAGACATGAAGATGATGTTAGGGATGGAAGAGAAGGCTGCTAGAAAAGTAAATAAAAGAAAAAAAAAAAAGGTGTCTGCAAATTCAGACAACCATAGAATGGATGCACCACAAGACTCCCCCGTGTGTCTATGCCATATGCATCCCACAAACCACAGAAAACTTCCTATTACTATAAAATCATCCAGTTAAGGTTACCATACCAGAAGTTACCATTACCAAGGGCAAAAAGGGAGAGAAAGAGAAATCAAGAATACTGCTAAAGCCCCAAATTCCTGCAGTGCATCCTGCAGAAATTAGAGGAAACAATGCTGATCTCTGATGATCTGAACTAAAAAAAAATACCTTCCTGACCCCAAACCTGGCTGTGTCTTTCAGTCCATCCATCCATCCCATAGAGCTCACCTGCACTCCCTGCACCTGCAGGAGGGCATGGGGTGAGAGGAGAGGGTACAAGGGCTGAATAGGAGCCCTCCTCTATGGTCAGCACCTGAAGGACAGGTAAGACACACATTTTTTCTTAGTGTGCATCTGTAGCACAGACAGCAGTGCAGCTTGAAACTGTCCCCACACTGCAAAGCACTTGATGTGAATATATGCCCGCTCTGATCCACTTAGGGCACTAGGAGCATTATTGACATTTACCCC